ATTTCCATTACAATTACTCCAAGTAATTTAAACTCACATATTTAATTTACAAATTAATTTATATTCATATTATTTTGATATGTCTCTTCTATATAAGAAATTGTTTGACACGGAAGAAATGAATGATTGAATATTAAATAATAAAATTTTAAAAAATATATATAAATATAAATTAATAAAATATAATGAATAATTTTCTAATATATTCATTCATCTTTTTCTTTTCTGTATATATCAATATATAACTTTTGATATGTTTATATCAATGATTTTCTATAATAAAATAGCAAATATTTTATATTGACAATAAAAATAATATCACACCTAGTTTTAATTTAAAATTTTGGGGAAAACGTTTTCTTTACTTAGCTTTAAATCTGAAGTTTTTAAATATGGGTAATCTTGTATTTTTAAAAGGGACAAACCCAAAAAAAAATTCAAGTTTTTTAGTTACACCCAAACAACCTTCTACTTAAAATTCATTAGGGAAATTTCCAAAAAAATCATCCAATTATGAGATAACTATCACATTCATCACGAACTTTTAAAATTTCCAAATTCATACTGGATTTGAAATTTTTTTCTAAAAAATCATTGGAAATTTAAATTTTAACAAAATCCTCATCGGAACAGAATTAATTTTGCCACATAGGCAGAAAACGCCTACATGGCGCCTACGTGGCATGTACGTGTTCGCCACGTAGGATACACGTGGCGTTAATAATAAAAAAATTAAAAAAATTGGAAAAAAATGTAAAAAAATATAAAAATGTGAAAAAAATTACAAAAAAATGTAAAAATTGTAAAAAATATAAAATTGTAAAAAAAATTTCAAAAAATGTAAAAAATGTAAAAATTATAAAAATTGTAAAAAAAATTGCAAAACATTATAAAAATTGTAAAAAATGTAAAATTGCAAAACATTTCCAAAAATTGTAAAAATTGTAAAAAATATAAAATTGTAAAGTTCGTGACGAATTTATTAGTTATCTCGTAATTGGATGATTTTTTTGGAAATTTCCCTTTTTTTAAAAACAAATTAAATTTTTTTAATTTTTTACAATTTGTTTTACAATTTTTTACATTTTATGAAAATGTTTTACATTTTTTTACAATTTTACATTTTGTTTTACAATTTTACATTTTTTACAATTTTTTACAGTTTTTGAAAATGTTTTACAATTTTATATTTTTTACAATTTTTACATTTTTTTGTAATTTTTTCACATTTTTTATAATTTTTTTCACATTTTTTCCAATTTTGTTTTAATTTTTTATTATTAATACTATGTGTATCCTACATGGCGAACACATACATGCCACGTAGGCACCATGTAGGCGCTTTCTGCCTATATGGCAAAATTAATTCTGTTCCGATGAGGATTTTGTTAAAATTTAAATTTCGAATGATTTTTTAGAAAAAAATTTCAAATCCAATATGAATTTGGAAATTTTAAAAGTTCGTGATGAATGTGATAGTTATCTCATAATTGGATGATTTTTTTGGGAATTTCCCAATTCATTATAAAAAACCATCAACTATTAATTTTGAATAAAAAAGACCATTAACTATATAAATTTTTTAAAAACAAATTTTCACTTTAAATTTGTTATAAAAAATCATCATTTATTAATTTTAATAAAAAAATTTATTTATTAAAATATAAAAAGTGTATATTAATATTAATAGATTATAAACTGAGTATTTTTTCTTAGTTGTAAATATTATATTTAAAATTTTATTGTATATTATTATAGAGATTGTAAATTATCATTTTAATTTTTTTTATAGATTTATAAAATATTTTTAATAAAAAAATCATCAACTATTTGAAATTTTCAAAACACATTCTATTTTAAATATAGAAACCTATAACCAATAAAATATACTCAATTTACAACCTATCAAATAGTAACATATAATAAAATTTTAAATTTTATATTTACAACCAATAAAATATAATGAATTTTGAATAAAAAAATTCACTTTGGGAATATTACAAACGTCATCGTCATTTTTTTCAATAATAATACTTTCTGTGGAACGATACAAATGTTATCATCCATTAATTTATATCAGTTATTGTGTAATAGAATTTTAAAATTTCTGATCAAAAATATATTCCATCATATATTTTTTATTGTTCTAAATATTATGAAATAAGTTTGTTATTTTTTATAATAATAATAATAAACATATAAATAAATTATATGTAGAATTTATAAATAAATTCATCTATTTACCGAAAGTTTTATCTATGTGATTCTCTTTCTATTTTTTATAGTTTTTTCTGTTTGATTTATCTATTTTTCCTAGATATTTGAATTTCTTTTCAAAGGTAAAAAAAATCTCTATAATTTTTTCTCAAAGATTTTATTTTTTATGAATTTCATCTAAATTAAAAAACATTCGTAATGTGTTTTCTAATTTTATAAGATTAAAATATTTATAGATAAAAATTCATGATGAATTTTGTTTTTGCAGAATATTACTAATTTTCCAGTGAAGATGAAATTTTATTATTTATAAGTTTTTTTTTAATTTGTAATTTTTATTATTCATTAATATCGTATTTATACTAAAAAATATTTCAATATCTACGGATATCAAAACAAAACCAAATTTTAAGAAAAAAAGAAATCAATGATATCTATTCATTTCTGAATTAAAAAAAATAATATTTATAAAATCTATTATAACTATTTAAAAAATAATATTCATAAAATTCCTATCAACATGTTGTATATGAAATGAGGAAAACCGGTTTTTGAACTCTTTCGCGTGTTTGCACAGTTCAGACATTTTGGGGAGCGGTTTTCCATTGATCTTTGAATGTGTTTCATGAGAAAATCGATTCTCAAGTATCAAATAAGTGACGGTGATATATTTACTAATCATGAAGCTTTTCACGAACTTTCAAAGTAAGAATTAAAAGAGAAATGCACAATGCATGGAATTAAAAATATTAAATGACCTTAAATTTTATCATTTATTTATTTTTTTATTTTTGGTTCTTGAGATCACTAAATCACATCAACGTTAATATAAGTTAGAAAATAGATTTTTTTATTAAGTTCTATTATAATGGATAATTTAAATAGGGTTTTTAAATAAAATATTGGTTAACTTGACTAACTTATAAAGTAATAATATTTTATAAATTTTTTATGTTAAAACTTTATTATCATGATGTGATAAATTTTGTTGATATTAAATTAGGAAAAAATAATATAGAGTATTTATTTGATAAAAAAGAATATATTTGTGTATTAGTTTCTATTATAATGTTAAACTATTTTAATACAAATTTGAATTATTTAGAAAAGAAGTAAAAAATATACGTGGATATTATTAAACCAATGTAAATTCAAAAAACTGTCATTTAAAAAATTATGTTAATATACGTGGATCTGCTATTATACTTGAGTGTTATATCTCCTCACCCCCCTTTCTATAAAAAAATTACTCAATACTTAAAAAAAATAACATTCATCTTTTTCTATTTCTCTATTCTTTTTTTCTAAACTTAACCTTCCATAAAAATTTTGTAGGAAAATGTTCCTACGAGATATATATTTTTTTTAATAAAAAGAAAAAAATTCACATTGAATAAGGGAAACCATCATACTTGTACAAGTCATAATAACGCCAATATCTTCTAAACCAAACAATGTGTCTAATGATATACCCTTTGGTAGAAACTGTAGAATGGAAAAAGGGAAAATTTTTTTTAGAGTTTCGGCACACCCACTCCACTTTGTTGTATTCATCCTTCTATGTACCTACAAAAAATGCAGAATTCCAATGATAGGATTGTTATAATTTAATTCATTTTATTTGAATAATTCATTCTTACCTTGAAAAAGTTATTTTCAAATCAGAAGTTGTGAAGCATATAGAAATTGAACCGAAAAACTTAAAAAAGAGTTTAAAATATTGTCTCGAATAAAAAAACTGAAGGTTTTGATAATCTGTATCAAGTCTTAATATATGTTAATTATTTTCAAAATTTTCATATTTAAACTTTGGTTAATGGAGTATAACCTGAACTTTTATTGTTATTAGCCAATGTATGTAGAGGAGAAGTTGAAATCTTGAGTAGAGGTTTTCCAAGATTCACACAGTCCATTGCAAATGCACCTTTTCAAAACATCACGGTTCAAAAATTTAAAAAAAAACATCATAATTGAAAAAAAAAAATGGAGCATTTGAACCCCTGAATATGACTAATTGAATGGTAAAGGGATATAATTATGCTTCAAGACTCAGAAACATTTTACTCACGTAATTAGATGGATCATACCTGAAGAGCCACACAATTATCTATGTTAAGATCCTTTTGCGAAGGACTCTCAAGAAGTGAAGTTGATAATTTTGTTCCGAACGGGAATATTTAGATAGCTAACAAATGACAACTTGATTCCAAATCCAGCTGCAATTAACAAAACTCTCCATGTGAACCATTTCTTTCAATCTCGTTGATGAAGAAGGTTTGTCAAGCGTCCGAAGAAGTTGGTTCCTGAAATAGAAAATAGAAAATAAATAAATAAAACGCAATGATATTATATCAATTGGACTTGCAAGGGAAAATTATGGCTTATACACTAATGTGATATGACATCTGCGATCAAATCAATTAACATGGGTACTGATTTTGTTTTTGTCGTTTAAATAGTAAGAGAGAAGAGAGAAATTTTATAATATGCAACGTATATGTTATAACATTTAATGAATCATTTATTTGTAAAGAAATAATTATAATTTTATAGGAAAGTAGATAAAAACTTTGAATGTCATACTAATATCTAATTGCCGTTGGAATATGAAATTTTTTTGGCCCTTCGTTTGCCCCATTCTCTAACAATCATCAATGTAGTGGACTAATACATTTATCATAATAATAAATATGGTTAGTTGGTCAATGAATAGCATGCGTTTTTGTAACATCCCATAAAACGTTAAAAAAAAACAAATAAAGAAAGAAAAAAAAAGGGGAAAACATGTCTCCATGTTTCCTTCACCCACTCTCGTGCCCCACCCCCTATGCTACTCACCCACCAATCAACGTCATCTCCTTCTTCTTTTTATATGCCTTACCTCTTCTCCTCCTTCTTAATTTCTCTGCGCTCTCTCCCTTACTCTAACTCTTCCTCCAGCAGAAACTCACAACCAAGCACTTGATCAAAGAACGGTAAGAAAATATCCTTCCTTTTCTTTTCCTTCTCATTATCCTGTAATTTCTTTAACTCTCTCATAAGAAATCATTACTTTCTTCATCTGAAACTCCCTCTAGTTATTATCACGAACGGAGTCGGGCGAAGAAAAAACTCAATCCAAAATTAACCCACGACCCTCTAAGAGACAAAGGAACTCAACGGTGAGTGAATCAAGTTCAATTCGAAAAATTCAATTTCCTTTGATTCTTGGTGATTTCGACATGTTTTCATTAAATTGATGTTTGATTTATATTATGGAATGACTTTTGTGAATTTTAGGTTTAACATGTTGAATCTTGATGAGTTTTGAATGTTTTTATGGAATCACGAGATTCGTATCGGACCAAATTAATTTCGGTCTGAAATGAACTGAGAATTAAGATATGAAAAATGTGATAATAATAAATTTTTGAAATAATAGTAATATTAATAATAATGATAATAATACTAATAACCATAATAATAATACTTTGAAATTAATAATA